TATGGATATAGGTTCAGTATATAAATGATTATGGATATAGGTTCAGTATATAAATGATTATGGATATAGGTTCAGTATATAAATGATTATGGATATAGGTTCAGTATATAAATGGGTAACTCAGCGTGGATGTTCAGAATTCTTTGTTCAGTTTTCATGTAGTTCCAGAGCCTAATGGATGCTTGATTCGGAGGCTCCGCGAAAACAAGCAACTGAGCATGCACGCAGCTACGAGTATCAGCGCTGATGATTGACAGCCCTTGGCATGACTCGATTGGTTAACGTAGACGGCATCGTGGATTCTGAGATATAGCTAAGAGAAGGTGGGACTAACATTTAAGGCCAGGAGGTCAATTTAATACAATTCTTAAAATTTGTAATTCATTTAGAATTACTTTAATATGCACACAAAAAAAACTCTGTTTTTGAAAATGTGTCAACAAGTAGTATTCCTCCAGCTACAGTCTTCAAAATGTTTGGTTATTGCCAGTAAATTTGAAACCATTTGCTCAAGACTCAGCTTTATTCTAAAAAATACCAATTTAAATGGCAATAAACTGCTCATGGGCTGACAGTTGGATCAACATCACCATTGAAGCCACCTACAGTACCTTACATTGTGGAGGTGGGTCCTGTTTTTTGGATACGATTGCATTTTCAAAGCGTCAAAATCCTTCTTACACAACCAAAATATAGAATAAATTAAAAGTAACAGTCAAACATTTCAACTGGTTTAGTGTTTACCCCTCTTTCAGCATTCAAAGATTTTGTAATTTCCTTTCTGTGGAGGCAATTTGGGTTGTCATATGTGATGTGAAGAAGCGCCCGTCATGAAGAAGTAATTGTATTTCTCAAATAGTAACATACACATTTTCATTGCATATGGAAAAAACTACCGCATTTCTTCAATATGGGAAATTACAAGTCAGAGAACATTCAATATTTGAGTGGTCGTTTTGACTCGCAGAGACCTCAGATAGTCACTGTACCAATATTGGACACATCGGAGCTAAAATGTTTATGGACAATCATTCCTGCATTTTAGACCAATGCAATAAGTAGTAAATCTTTTAAATGTGACATAACAGTTGTGCATAAAGTCGTAAAACATAATATGATTGTGAATTCCATCTCAAGCATGTCCATAAATTGCCATGTTTGTACGCATGGGAGTTTTAACTTTTTATTGAACCAATTCAGCAGTGCGTTTTGTGTAACATTTTGAAATACGCCCGTGTTTTAGTATTACAACCGTGGAAGTATTCGTTTATGAATGTCTTTCTATTCTTGGGTCGATTTTAAACACACCAGGAAGAAATTCGCTTTTCCTATGCTTTTTAAGTCACCCCCAATTCTCTACCAGCAATAGTTGTAAAAAACCATTTGGCTTCTTGTTATCTGCGCCTGAAAAAAAAACGTTCGGCTCTGGTAATCTCCCAGGTGGGCCAGATACCAAATTATTACGGCTGACATTTTGCCGGAGAACAGAGTTATGTGTCGTGGTGTTTCGTGTCCGTGGGTCTATAGTCGGGTGACGGTATGGAGCCTTTTTAACCCCGCCGAAGCCAGTGTAGCTTTTATTGTTGACACAGCGGTGCATGGTCGCTCCTCTGGGACTGACGATTTGCCATGTACATGTATGAAACCAGACCGTAGCCATATGGTAGCACGCACAGGCAGCACTAAAGGGAATGGACTTGGAACGTTATAGGTTGAGCAATGTGGAAACGGCAGTGAGGTAAATTGAATATATGCAAATACAAAGAATGCACTTATCAAAATTCTATACTGCATAATAAGAACCTTAAAGGGAAAGTATATGTTTTTTTTTCATTTTCAATTACATCACCTGTTATATGTGGCCTCAAATACAATAGGTCTGGCATGCACCTCTTGTATGGCGACCTCACTCCCTTCCTCTGTGTGGAGTTAGAGACAAATGCCCACAGAAATTGTTAAGCGCTTTGTGACTCTGGTGTGTGAAAGGCGCTATATAAATAAGGATTACTCACTTACTTATTGACTTAAAAATAATAGGTCACCATCTGCACATCTTGTTTGACCTTTCCAAACTAAAGAGGAGGCCTTCCTCATTAGATGTACAAGATATTTGTTTTATTTTCAAGCAGATCTTCCAATCAGAGAGCAGAATGTAAGTTAGCTTGTCTTTCTTTTTTTCAATAATACAAGTTACAAACACAGACGGACTTCATTATGTCCCTTACTGAATTCCAACAGGTGGTCTGCATCAATATTCAGTGCAAAGGAGCAAGATGTGTCACAGCCAGGAAGGTTCTAGTAAGTAAATTCAGTTAGTGATCTGATATAGCGCCTTTTGCAGACTGAGAGTCACAACGCTATTTACAATTGTATAACTTTAAAAGCACAACAATTGACTAATGTAATTCAATCTATGTTATAATTCCTCACTCTCAAAACCACTAGTTTTGTGTGTATGACCTCTAAAAGGGAGTAACCACCTTCATTCAGCCAACATTTATACAATGAAATCTATATTTTGATGTCCTTCATTCTGTTCTCCATTCACAAACAATGGACAAAGTTTTATGTAAACATGATTTTTTTTTTCTAAATGTACAGCCACTACACAGTTCAAAGATGCTGAATTCTGAAAGTAGTTTTATAAAGGAGGCCTTCAAGATGCACACGGGGTAATCCTTCTCCCTGTTATCACCGGCTCACACACTTCCAGTTTTCACTCCGATATATAAATGAATCCGGACCCGAGCGACTGTTTACAGTTGATGCAAAAGGCACATTTTTATGACACATTTGTCTTGGCTCGTAAATTGTTAACCGGTTTTAACACCACAAATGGAATGCAAATACATGAATGTAGAATGAGCGCTTGATGCCCGTTGACTGCCGGGCCGTTCTGACATATTGTAATTAGCGCGTTGGAAAAATCCGAAGACAAAGAGAAGAGCTGCAGGAAGGGGGAGCCCGGCAGGACGAACGGAGCTAAAGCGTGAAAGGGAATGATAAATGATTGAGCGAGGAGCCGGACCCTGAGGTTAGGCGAGTACACGAGTTACAACTGGCTAGCTCATTTGGTTCAGCTACAGATCTCATAATAAACATCACAAGGCTAGTTTGGGCTGGCGGCTGCAGATTAAGCCAGAGCTGTTAGCCCTTTAAAGACTGTGCAGTATAGCAAGCAGCCAAGAAGCTATTTATAGGGAAGGTTGGAAGTGTATCAAAGCAGGTAGGCACAGGCAGGTACCAGACAGGGACTATTTTGCCTGATTTATGTCCTTCAATCAATGTAATAACAATAAACTGTCAAATAGCTCGCCACTTTTAGTTGTAATTTATGGCTGTGCTCGCCTAATAAAGTCCTGATGATATTTCTCCCCTCCCATCTCCTCAGCTCAAAATACATTCTGTCTGTGTTTACACCTAAGTCTCATCTTTTCGTCTCGCACTGTAAGCCATCTTGTTTAGTCATTTATAATTTAACTTAATATTTATCATGATATTTATTGTTTGCTAAGAATATTGCAATTACGCAGTGTTGCCTTGTCTTGATGTGTGTCATGAGGAAGAATTGTGTTTCATAAATAAACTACACAGTGCATAACTGCTACAAATATGTGGCATAATGTGAGTTAAAGTGAAAGTAGCTCAGTTGAGACGTCTTATGTCATTTGATTGGACTAATAGTTTGCTTAATTGTTGTCATATAGTCCGTTGTCAATTTTGGCTTCTAAGGGATTTTGTCAAAATGGCCGCAGGGCAGGAAAATGTGAAAAAATGCACTCGCCTCATTCATTTGGCAAGCAAATTCTGAAGTCAACAGCGGCGAAACTAGAGTGTTCCAAAAAAATATACTCCCCTCAGCATTGACAGACATCTGGAACGTAGCTTTGGGCCTAGAGCCGACTTTGGGACCATCCTGTAAATCCGTTTTTGAGAGGAAACAAGAAGCCATACAAAAGCTTTGGGTAATTCTTATTCCGGGTCAACCCCTACTGGCCCGGATTGGTAATGCAAGCATGTCAGCGCACATGCTCATGGACCTTTGGAGCCAGGACCCGCCCCCACTGGTCCTGACCCACATGTGTAGTTGATTCCCTTGTATGTAGCCGGTTAGCCTCTATTGGCAGTTCTGTGTGATTTCGGCATTAAAATGGAACAGCAGCAAAGGTGAGAAACGGTTTTGGGAGGAGGCTGAGAAGAGACAAAAGACAATGGAGGACTGAATAATAGACTGAAAAAAACCAGTGGTCTTGTGGGTCATCCTTTCATGGACATTTTTTACACTGCAGTTAGACTTCTGGCAAAATCATACGAAATAAATGTAAAATCAGGTTTACTCTTGTAGTGTACAAAGGCTCTAGACAGTCATCTGATGGTGTCTATCGAGGCACAACATCATGGTTTACTCGGCTGGCGCACGTACAGAGCTGTTGAACCAACCGAACGATTAAAGGGTCCTTACAAATTGGTTGAAATCAAACCAATCATAAACTTATACTTTTTCTTGGACTCCACTCTTTTTAAACTCTGATTGGTTGTACTTGTTCTGGTACCGTATATGTACTTAACACTATACATAATTATATATATATAGGTGGATAGAGATACATTGATATTGAAGCATTTACAGCTAGCTAAGAAGCATAGCACCTAGTTATAATGTGTATTCTGTGTGCTTCTTGTGTGCTCCTACTTTCTGGGCTGCAACATTGAAATTTCTCCACTGAGGGACGAATAAAGGTTCTCTTATCTTATCTATCTATGTTTGTTCTTAATTGTTTTAGCTACTGGGCTTATTCTAAAAATGTGCATTGAAGACACTATACTAACCCTCAATCCTAATAATAACCTTCTTTTTCTGCGTCTTCCCTGCAGAGTTACCCAGCAGCCCCGGTGGTCAGTTCACGTTTCGGCCTCTGCCTCCGCCTCCTCCGCCTCCCCACGCCTGCACCTGTGCCCGCCCCGCACCCTACACCCAGGTCAGCCTGCAGAGGAAGACCATGCCGTCCCGCTGCCACAGCAACCAGACGGCCCAGAGCGGCGACAACACGTCCAACTCTGACCAGGCGCAGCTCCACAACAGCTGGGTGCTCAACAGCAACATCCCCCTCGAGACCAGGTGAGATTTCCTCCAGTATGGGCACTTTCAGAGCTGGACAAAACGGCAATTATTTCTGTGAGCTCATTCCTTTGATGATGTGTTATTTTGGTAGAATTGTCCGATTGGGATTTACGAATACTCCTTTTGCTGCTGCTGTACTCATTACAGCTTAGGTGCTTAACTTTTAAACCGCAGAAAATTGAATGATGTAATTAAATCCATCTAATCCATCTCTCTCCTCTCTCTCACAACAGTTTGGTTCTATCTCTAGTTTTCTCATCCTTGTATTCCTCTGTCACATCTTTGAATCTGCTTTCTTTTTAGACAAAAACATGCAGAATAGAGGACCACCCTTACTCATTCAATCAGCTGGCAGCCCAAAGAGTCAAAGAGTGACTCAGTATGCAGAAAAAACAATTTCTAAAAATCTAATTTGCTCACAAAGCTGTATTTTTGCTAGACCACTTCAGTTGGGAGTCGGGACAGACAAATATATTTCATAGGAAATAAAGAAAGTATACCAGCTAATTCAGAAATTAGCTAGTATACTTACCAGCTAATTGGTCAGTAAATGCATGGAAGAAGCGAATGATGCAACTATTAATGTAAATTATAACTTAGATATTACAATCATATATCAATGCAACACAGATCACTCTGCAGCAGGAACCACTCATACAATCAGTTTTTGTTTTCTAACAATGGAGGCGCATTTGATTCTCACATCAAGAGTGTGGCAAGTTCCACACATCTCCTACAGAGATGAGAACAGAATGATTAAGAATGGATGTGGACTGAAGGCATTGTTAGTACGGATATTTTGTGAGTGCGTGGAGTCCAAAGCCCCATGCAAACCTCTGGGCTGTTATTATCGCACAACATCAAAGCCACAAAACACATTTCAGGTTTTTGGGTTCCGTTTTATTCTGTTTTCCCCCAGCACGGAATAACAAAATGCCTGTAACTCTCGTCTTGGTGGCTGAATATCCGTCTTCGTCTTTTTTGAAAATTGCCTTTTCAGGAACACGCTGTGATCATATCCCCCAGAAAACTTTCCAAATGTTCCAAGATGAGCCACTGGAAAATTTCCAGCCCTTCAAAATAAATTCAAAAACTTTCCTTCATCTTTAGTAATAATTGATCAGAATTATTTAGGAATTACTCATTTGTGCTGTGGGATTCAGAGAGGGCAGGAAAGTGCACAAGAATACGTTTGCATGTTTAATAAGAAGTGAGAGCAGATCCTGGATCCCATTTCTTTGGGTGGAATATGATTGGCAGGCTGCCACACACAGAAGAATGTGATATTAATAAGTTATGCATTAGACCATAATTAGATTGTAGCTCATTTAAAGGAAAGGAGGAATAAAATTAGATTTCAGTGACAAATGTAAATTAATCATTGGGCACAGAGCGACATCAATGTGAAAGATGTCTCGATATGTGCCCTGTAATTACACTGGCTATTTCCCTGTCTTTTATGACTTCAATAAATTATTGGCAAATTATAAATAATAATACAATTCTCATTGAGTTCAATTACATAAGTATTCTGACAAGAAAATATTCCCAGTGTTGCCAACTTAGCGACTTTGTCGCTAGATTTAGCGACTTTTCAGACCCCTATAGCGACTTTTTTTCAAAAAAGCGACTAGCGACAAATCTAGCGACTTTTTCTGGTGTTATTGGCGACTTATCTGGTGTTTTGGCGACTTATCTGGTGTTTTGGAGACTCGTGAAGCACGTATTGTTCTGCAGTCTCACAGTAGCCTTGCGCAGCAGTCCCAGCTACAGTCTATGGGCGGAGCAGAGAGAGAGAGAGGAGACTCAAAAGCACAGGAAGTTTTCAGGCTGCTGCAGACTGAACTTCAGCTCCACCACCACCACACATCCAAAGCTCCCCGGCCACTCCTACCACCGCCACCCCCCACTACCCCCCACTACCCCCCACTCCATCCGCGGCAGCTCTGTCCGTGACTCAGTTTTCTCTCAGTAGTGGGTCACATTAAATCATTTGTTATGCCAAACTATGAAAAAAAAAAAAAAACTTACAAAAATAAACCTAAGTAACTCTGCCAGTGTGTCTTTTGGGTCACTTTGCCGGTCCCAAGCCCGGATAAAGGAGGAGGGTTGGTTGTAGAGCTAGAAATTTCACCCTACATAACAATCTTTTGATTACATTTGCTGTTATAACATTTAACAATACAGGACAAAACTGATGTGTGTAATGTGGATCTAGACAAAGCATTAAAATCATTAAATGTTGTTAATGTTGAAATTATTTTTGTACATTTGTAGTTCTAAACATATTTAGGGTGTTTTTACTCACTTTTGTCTCTCCCACGACCTTATTCCTCTCTCCTACAGCGTCCGTTACAGTTATTTGCAAATGGCAAATTATGCAAATTAGGCGATGACGTCATTTAGCGACTTCTAGCGACTTTTGGGACAGCCAATAGCTACTTTCCTTACTGAGGAGTTGGCAACACTGAATATTCCATCCATTGAGGAATGAGTTGACCCCTTCAAATCTTGCTTTTGATCTGAGATATTTTCACCTGCTCTGCGACACCCTTCAAATAGTTTTAGAATAAATATATCACCAATATATGTGTTTCAGGATATAAATCCAAAGAGTTATTGTTTATCACTAGTTTTCACACGCATAGATTTTTGGCCTCTGTCACAACTTTTTTGGATAAAGTGAAACAGAATCAACTCGCAGCCCAAAGAGCCAAATAGTGGCTAAAAAATATGGATCTGATTTGTTCACAAAACTGTATTAGACTATTTCAGTTGGTGTACAGTTAAGTACACCAGCTTTATATATTCAATAATTTCCCATAATATTATCCATTAATCATGGTACATATCAAAGTTACATTACTTTTCTCCCAATCTTTGTAATTATCATTGCTTTTTGTGTTATATTTTCTTAAAATATAACAGAAAACTTATTTTTGTATAGTGAAGAGATAAAACACCATCTACTTTCCCTTATATTTATATACAGTATGAATAGTGGCTGTATTAGATTTTCACTACACATCTATAACTGTACATTGCTCTATTATATTCATAGAATGTAATTATCGTCATAGTCAATACAAGGGGATTTCTCTGCAACATAATTCAGATATTATTGGCTCTTCTTGAACAAGCTTCTGTGGCGGCTGACATAATATTACTCAGTTTGCTGCTTATAACTGCTAAATCTAATATTGGATCACTCTTCTCACTATAAAATCTTACTGCGGAAACTTAATGGTTGCATTTCTTGCCCCCGTCTCCTATCTGCTCAATCTCAAGCGTAAGATTAAAGATTTATCAAATATTTACCGACTTGTGCGTGTCACGTTAATCGAATTAGAAGCAACGTTATCATCCGAACAGGGACGGCAAGGAATGTGTTTTTTTTTTCTTTTTTTTTTGAATTTCATGTCAGGTAAAGTTGTGTATTCCCAGATGTGGGTGTGACAAATGCATATTGAAATGTATCGACATAGCGTCAGGTGAGATTAAGATGCTTTGAAGTGCACATAGATTTCCCATAGAGCTCGTGTATGCTTGTGCAGAGGGCAGCATGTATACGAGCAGAACGCAGAGATATGGATATTCAATATTATCTGACAGGCTTCACGCACTGTGTTAAGAGGAATTACAAATGTTGAGAGTGGTATAAATTGACTGGTGGCCGGCCCTTATCTCCAGCCCCTTATCAGAAGACCGGGCTGAGATTTCGCTGATCAAAAGCTCTTATTTTACACAGATATACGACAGTAAATGAGGTGCGCCAATGGGATCTCACACTGATGTCAATGGCTCATCTAATTACTATAGGAAATAATAGACTGCCAATAAAACTCCTGTGAGTGGGTGAAGAATCACTATTGTCAGCATGCCCACACCCTATGAAATATCAATCCATCAAAACATTTATTTTCAATTGCTCAAAACATGCGGGTTCTTTATATGGTCTATGATCAGCCAGAATAATGTATTGTTATTCGACGCAAGTTATTAAACATTTAGCATTATGCCTTTGAGTTTGCCCAGTAGCAGATCGTTTGTGCCTTAATTTTTAACCGTGTAAGATTATTAAGTAATAACGAGTAACCTTGAATGTACTTATTTATTTTATTTTATTTTGGTTGCACAAATCATTGTGTCAGCTCCTGAAAACGTTGTTGTTAATCTTCCCATATACAATGGAAGAGAAAATGTCTCAAAGTTGATGACCAACAACTAAAGCACCTGTGTCAACATCTTCCAGAACAATTCCAACAATAGCTCTATTTTACAAAAACACAAATAATCATATGCTTACAAGCAGACATTCATGCAGTGGAAAAACATACACTGACTACTATTCAACGCAGGTGTGTCAAAGTAAGCAGTACTGCAGGGCTGCTCTGTGCACCTTTTTAGTAAACTTTTAACAACTTTTTAGCGCGTTTTTATTGTTCAGTTTTTTAATATATCTGAGTGTTTTATCTTTTTAATTCAGTGGTTTCAGCAAATAGCACTTAGTCCCGACTGAAACCCACTAGTAGCACAGAGGCTAACACAAGCTAACGAGGACATGGAAAGTGACAATGAAATTGGCTCAAACATGCACAATATTAGTCGCCTCACCTTGGAGCTCCGTGAGAGCGACCGTGCCACCATTGCAGAACTACGAAAAGAAGTCCTTCGTCTCACCGCAGAGTTGAATGAGAAACAATCTCTAGTATCCAAACTTTTTGAAGTCGCTGGTGGGCAGCACTCACGGCTGATGTCACTGAGCGCTGCATATTGTGACACTGTCGTGTGGGAGAGATCCGTCAGCTCCGGACCCTCCTGTTCTACACCTAAGCGCCCGCTTCCGAATAACGAGCCCGCGGATTCCGAGGAGCCATCCTGCGCCGTGGCCCATGTCCTGAGTCTGGCAAACCGCTATGCAGCCCTCTCCACCGACATCCCGGCCCCCTCAGCAGAATCCCTGGACACTGCAGCGTACTCTACTGCTCGAGGATCCAAGTCCACTGCGAGGAAAACGCTCCTAAAGGAAGCAGTCCTCAGGCGAAAGAGCGGTCCACCAGCCATGTTGGCCTGTTCCCCTTCTTTGACCCCAGTGCAGCAGCCTCAGACTGGGGTAGCTAGCCATCATCACCACCGCTCACCTCCACCGGGTCAGCAGCAGCGCCCAGAGCCAGCCCCTCTCACCGCTCCAGCGTCCCCGAGCACACAGCGTGGGTCGCCTGTAGCTGAGAGTCAGCACCCCCGCTCCTCCTCTCCATGTGTTCAGCGGCGCTCAGGCTCGGGTCCTGCTTCGGGTGAACCCGCTGGTTCCGTCCACCGAGCTCCTTCTCCGAGGCCACTCTTCGCCCCGACCACTCTGATTATTGGAGATTCCATCGTGAGACACGTCCGCTTCTTTAACGCGGTCACTCGCTGTATTCCCGGAGCTACTGTACCAGACCTGCTCATACGTCTCCCTCCTCTGCTTCAGTCCCTGCCTGATACCGTTTCCAAGGTAGTCGTGCATGTGGGAATTAACGACATGAAACTTCAGCAGTCAGAAGTCACGAAGAAACATTTTATGGATCTGTTCCACCTCCTTCAATCCTCCGGACTATCTGTTTTTATTTCTGGTCCAATCCCGACTGTAAACAGAGGTGACTGCCTCTACAGTCGTGTTGTGGCGCTGCATATGTGGCTCCAGGCTACATGCAGCTCTTTTAACTTTGTCTTTGTGAATAACTTTGCCCTTTTCTGGAAACGTTACGAAGCCTATCGTCCAGACGGATTACACCCAAACAGATACGGTAGCAGCCTGTTGATGGATTACATACGTTATGTTGTTCAGCGTTCCCCGAGGGGGGCGTGACTGTTTACATCTGAGCCCCCTCGGACCCCACCGCACTCCCCCGCCTCCTGCTCACCAGCACCGGGTGAGTACAACGGTGCAAACACTGCTCCCTGTCCGTCTGGCAGTGCATTACCAGTCCAAACACTGAACTGTGCTGACTCCCTTCTGACTCTGGGAGCTAAAGAACAACAAGGGTTTTCACATTTTAGGCCAATTGAGACTGTGTGTGTTCCTCGCACCAGCTCAAAAATGTTTTTAAATTCTAAAAAACGAAATCAAAACAGGACAGCAGTTAGACGGTCCAACTCTGCAAATCTAATTTCTGTTCCCTGTAGAAATCAATCAACCACATTAATCGACTCTGACGTTATTTTTAAACTTGCTATGCTTAATGTCAGATCTCTATGTAACAAATCATTTTTAATTAATAATTTTATCACTTCTTATGATCTTGATTTTATGCTTATGGCTGAAACATGGCTCGACCAAAATACAGGAAATGCAGTTCTAATAGAAGCAACACCACCCAATTTTAAATTCGAATCCGAAATACGAGAAAACAAAAGGGGGGGAGGCATAGCTGCAGTTTTTAGAGAGCACTTTGTCTCCCATAGAATGCCCCTTGGAAATTTTTCATCGTTTGAGTATATTTCTTTTAAAATGGAACAAAAGCAATCTTCTACTCTTTTCATTGTCCTGTACAGGCCACCACAGTCATGTTGCGATTTTATTGACCATTTTACTGAACTACTTTCATTCGTGTGCACAGATTTTGATAGTTTAGTTATTACAGGTGATTTTAATGTACATGTTGATAATGTTGATGACAGAAATGCAAAGGAGCTGGCTTCTGTATTTGAGACCTTTGGTTTCATTCAGCACGTGAGTGGCCCCACCCACAGCAGGGGGCACACTCTTGACCTGCTAATTACAAAGGGGGTTAATGTATCAAATGTTAATGTAGTTGATGTTGCTTTGTCAGATCATTTCTGTGTATTTTTTGACATGTGTTTTGCTAGCAAACCACCAGCTGAATTTACAACTGTTAGAAGAAGACACATACATGAAAACACAAGTGAACTGTTCATGGGAATGCTAAATTTTGAGAAAACTCCATGCTCTACTGTTGATGAATTGTATAACTCTGTCACCACCAGTGTTCTGACTGTTCTGGACGCCATTGCTCCTGTGACGGTTAAAATAGTTACCAGTAAGAAAAAGGCCCCATGGACTAAGGCAGACTCGGTTAGGGCACAGAAGCAAGAGTGCCGGAGGGCCGAACGGAAGTGGCGAAAGTCCAATTTCCAGGGCGATTATGAAATCTTTAAAGATGAGTTGGGTGAATTTAACCGGGTTCTACGTAGAACAAGAGAAATGTATTTTTCTGACATTATTGGAGGTTGCAGTAACAATTTTCGTGTTATGTTTTCAACAGTTGGTAGATTAACGAACCCCCCTGTAAAGTTGCCCCTAGAATTTTCCTCTAAATCTAGGTGTAATGAGTTCGCACAGTTTTTCGATGACAAAGTACAAGGAATCAAAAACACTATCACCTCCACAGCACGTATAACAATGCAACAGCCAGAGAAGCTTTTTGAGCTAACTCACTTTGCACCTGTGGATACTGAAACTGTCAAAAAGATAATCATGAGTCTGAGCTCCTCCACATGTAGCCTGGATATATTGCCCTCTAAATTTCTGAAGTCCGTCCTGAGCAGTTTGTTACCTTCACTGACACAAATAGTAAACATGTCTCTGTCGTCAGGAACATTTCCTATGGCCCTAAAAAAGCAGTCATAAGACCTCTCCTAAAAAAGAGCAGTCTGGATCCTGCGGGACTTCAAAATTATCGCCCCATATCGAATCTGCCATTTATTGGAAAAATTCTTGAAAAAGTGGCCTCCCAACAACTTACTGAATTTTTAACAATGAATAATTCTTTTGATATGTTCCAGTCTGGGTTTAGACCCCACCACAGCACTGAGACCGCTCTAGTGAAGGTAACAAACGACATTCGACTTCACACTGATGCAGGTAAAGTCACAGTTTTGGTCATGTTAGATCTTAGTGCCGCGTTCGACACTGTCGACCATGAGATCCTCATGCAGAGACTGGAGGACTGGGTTGGTGTCACTGGCACAGCCCTAGACTGGTTTAGGTCTTACCTGGAGGATAGGAAGTACTCTGTGGAGATTGGAGACTGCGTCTCAGATGATGTGGCCCTGACCTGTGGTGTACCACAGGGGTCGATCCTGGGACCTCTCCTATTTAATCTCTACATGCTGCCGTTAGGTCAGTTAATACAAAGAAACAAAGTGTCCTACCACAATTACGCTGACGACACTCAGATCTATGTCTCACTGACTGCAGGAGAACATGGACCACTGGATTTGCTCCTTCACTGTATCCAACAGATCAGTGACTGGATGCAAAATAATTTCCTCCAGCTAAATGCAGACAAAACCGAAATCATTGTCTTTGGTCCCCAGAAACAAAGAGAGGGCGTCATTTGTCAACTTCAGTCTCTCTCCCTACTTCCTTCAGACAAGGTCAGAAATTTGGGGGTAATACTGGACTCAGACCTAAATTTCAATAGCCACATAAAATCAATAACATCAACAGCTTTTTACCATCTGAAGAACATTGCCAAAGTTAGAAATATAGTGTCCAGGGCAGACTTGGAGATTCTTGTCCATGCATTTGTCTCCAGCAGGCTAGACTACTGCAATGGCCTGCTTACAGGTCTGTCCAAACAGACCTGTAAGCAGCTGCAGTACATCCAAAATGCAGCAGCTAGAGTCCTGACAGGAACCAGGAAGTATGACCATATTAGTCCGGTCCTCAGGTCTCTGCACTGGCTTCCTGTGGCTCAAAGAATAGATTTTAAAACGGCTCTGCTTGTGTACAAGTCTCTCCATGGCCTTGCACCAGAATACATTAGTGACATGTTGGTGTCATATGAACCGGCCCGGACTCTGAGGAGCACAGGGACTGGCCTCCTGCTGGTGCCCAGAGTGAGAACCAAACATGGGGAGGCTGCGTTTCAGATCCATGCAGCTAAGATCTGGAACAATCTCCCTGAAAATGTGAGGGAGGCGTCTACTCTGTCAATGTTCAAATCCAGGTTAAAGACAGTTCTGTTTGCCTGTGCATATAACTGAAGGATTTTATCTCCATTTTTAATGCACTGCTGTCATTTATTTATTTTTTTTAAATTTCTTGTGTAATTTTGAAAGTTTTAATGGTTTTATTCTTTTGTGTGATTTTACTGTTTTAATTGTGTTTTAATCTTTTGTGTGATTTTAATGTTTTAATTGTGATTCTGGTGTTTGTTTTATGTGATGATTTGTGATGTGGACTGTGAAGCGCTTTGTGTTGCCCTGTGTATGAAAGGCGCTCTACAAATAAACTTTGATTGATTGATTGATATATCCTTTTTTTTTTCAAATACGCATGAGAGGATCTGATGGCCTTGACCCACGTCTGACTGAGCCTCCTGTGATGAAATGTCTCTGCAGATCTGCATGCACCTTCTGGCCTCTGCCCAAGCTCAGCGATTTGCACCTATCCAAGTTCAGACAGCCCCAGGGTCTGCTCCTCCTGCCTCCCGCTGAGCTCCCCTCTCATTTCCGCCAGTCTCCAGGGAAATATGCCCCTCTGATATGAATTCACAGCATCTTGGGCGTTGCCCCTGGATATTGTCTGAGAAGATCAAAGGCAGGGAGCCAGGAAGGAGAACAGCGAATCCTTTTAAGGCGCCTCACAAGAAGAATAGAGTTTCACACACATTGACAAATGCAATTTCTTCAGCTGCTTCCGAAGCTAGTGTACTAAAGCAATACAAAGCGCCACAGTCACCCCGACCTGTGCACTGGCCTCCGAAATGCTCCCTGTGTGTGGCACGTGTGGGTGACTGAAAGCATCCAATATGTGAAAACTTTCCGGGTGACTTTTTCTAACATTTTCAGTACTACATTCTTTCTGTATTGTGTTCATTTAAGACACTTAGGGCCTTGTTTAGCAAGCGTTTTCTATTGAGCAAACACAAATGTCCACACAAAGCAGCTGTATACAGATTTGGTGTTTTAACTTTATTGGATAAAGTTTTTGCGTGGATGACAAATACCCAACTTTTTTTCTAACTTACGTGATGACATCAACCCTCCAGACCTGCGCTCAATCTACGTCTGAATATGACGTTTACTACAGGATCATCTCTCCCTCACTGCCACAGTGTCATACAAGTGTCAAGAAGAAAATATATAAATAAATCAGTCTACCAACTTTAGCTCAAAGCACAAAGACAAGTCTTTGTGCAGGGTGACAGTAGCTCAGTTGGTAGAAGGCCAATAGGTCGTGGGTTCGAGCCCACCACAAGACTCTCTCCACCGACTCCCACTGATGTCTGCTGTCGAAGTGTCCTTGGCAAGACACTTAACCTCTGGGAACACCTGATGCCACAGTGGGGCCCACTGCCTAGAATGACTCTGGTGTGTGTGAATGGTTGGTGTTGGTCGGAGGGGCCGATAGCACAAACTGGTTGCCTCGCTTCTGTCAGTGTGCCCCAGGGCAGCCGTGGCTACTACAGTAGTTTATCACCACCGTGTATGGAGTGAAAGAATAATGACATGTGAAGCATCTTTGAGAGTCCAAAAAAGTGCTATATAAAACCGATGCATTATTATTACGTCACACCTCTTGTTAAAGCACAGAACAACCCAAATCCAGTCAATCCTTGTGGTCCCCCCTGGACGCAAACTAAAGTGGCTCTATTACAAAAAAGGGTGGACACCCCTGATTTAGAGCTGAATTATTTTGTTTTTATTTTTCTTAGTGAGATTTGGTGTTTCACGTCCGCCATGTGCAATACACTCTGGATGTGCTCTGGGGCATTTTTAATTTGTCTGCAGCGGTATGTGAACACATTGGCAGCGGTAGATCAGCATTTAGGCAATGCAGTTTCAAAATAATATTTCATTTTGTCTCTGTGTGGCCATGGTCTAAATCCATGCAAATATTTGGTTATGGGAAATTGTTGACTTTACAGTTAATTAATTTCCAAGTGACCTCTGACAGACCTTTTTGTACTCCTATTGTTGCTATCGGCAAGGCTCCACCCACCCATTCAATCTTCTCTGCTTGGTTTTCATCTCACCCTTTACCAAAGCAATCCCACAAACCTCACCCATGTTCCAGCCTCAGAAAAGCTGAAATCCTCCTGTGTCACTATGTTTGACACGGTATTGTTTAGGCTTGTCTTGTTCAAATCATCTCAGAGCAGACTTTTGTTTTTTTTGTTCATGGCGTTAGGCTATGTGAGCTGGTGTTTGTCCAAAAGTTTCTTTTTGTCCTTTTCGAAAAGCTTGAACTAGCATTGACCCTGAAGGTGCAAGCTTGCTCTGTGCGCTGCCCGTTGTGTCCCTTGTGACTCACAGCCTTCAGCAAATGCAAGGGAGAGGGAGAGATATTGAGGGATTAATGTCAGCTTGTGTAAAACGCAGCTTCAGGGACACATTAGGAACCGGCAAAGCAAGAGAAAGTGACGGCATATGCAAAGGAAACACACAGAATAGGTTGCAGGATAAGTAGTGCTGGAATGAATAAGGCAAGATGAATGCAATTTCTGAATTACGTCATCAGCCGCAACTTGTGTGGCTTTAGAGGCGTTTGAAGAAAACCCAATGCGGCAATCACAGCGGGTCCATATAACTGTCTACAAAAATCAGAGATGTTTACGTATGTGCTGATCATTTATATAATGCCATGAGAGATGTAGAAGGAAAAGTGCATGTTGATCAATGAAAGAGGAAAGAGGACATTTGTACACTGCTTTCAACTCTGGATTGGTCAGCTGCAATGTCAATTAGTTTCTTTAGCCATTGAGTTGCCCTATTAGTAACATTATAGTAAACATAAAACATATAGTAAACATAAAAACAAGTTGGAGATACAGCAGAGGTCGAATTAACTTAACATAATTAACTGGTTAATGAATTACTGGCCAAAAAAAATCAATATTTTAGTGTCATTTCTTGTTACTGTCATTAGTGCTGTTGGGGCCATTTTGGTCGCCTCATCCACTAAATGTGTGTGTGTGTGTGTTTGATCACTCAATCTTAGGAGGAAAATGTACATGGCATCTGTGAGTAAGACTCTGCACCTGCTGTTATTCAGTTCTAAAAATGTGTTCAAACTTACACGCTTACATGCAGTTACCACCCGGTTACATGGCCTTTAGGAGGAGATGGGCTCCCAGTGCATGGATTACATACTACTTACTTTCTACTTACTTACCCATATATGGTCATGTGAGTTAGACATATAGATTCTGCACCAAGGTTGAAAATATGTAGTTGCTTCATTTCAGTATTATTTATTCATTTTCTGTGCACAGCCTGTCATTATGTTCTGCCGTACCTGATAGCCTCCAGCACAAACACAGTCTCATGCATGTGAAGCGCTTTGTGCTTGGGGATTTAATTTATTCTATACATTCATGTGTGCATTTGCATTTACCCCCACTCCCAGCCCTCAAAGAAAACCTATAACTGCAGTAACTTTTCAAATCAAACCAGTCAGGACAACGTCCGGTCTGCATAGTTGAAGCCATCGTGCACACTGTATAACGTGTTTTGTATCTGTTCCGTGATACAGTGAAATATAATGACAGATGATTACACGCATCACCTTTAGCCTCCGCTGCTGGTCCGTCCTGAATGCTAACGCTGCCTTTGGCCCTGTCACTGCGGCCACTCTTCCCAAAGTCTCTGAGGTTCAATGTGAGACTTAATGACTTGTCAAGATGGATGTGTTTTTGCCGTGTATGAGGGCGACGGAGTGGTCTGTCGCGCTCTGCTGTCCGGCTGCAGTGTCAGTCTCCTGTCTGGCCCCACTTTAATGGGCCGTCCTCCGAGAGCCCTTCAGAGTCCTACAGCTGCAGCCAGTGACCTCATACAACCACTGCTCTGCCAAAAAAGAGGGTCAAAGCTGGGGTACCGATCTTTTTTTTTCATAAATAAGACATTCTGTTTTTCTCAACAGGAAGAGTCTTTTAAAAGTTAAGCTTTGTGAACAAGTCAGACCGCAATATGCTCTCTGTCTTACATACTGTAAGTCGGCCCTAGGAGTCACTATTTGAAGTTTTGGGCTGATTGAGAGCTGATTGGCTGAGTGAGAGTGGTGGTGTGAGCTGATCTAAAGATGTAACAGAGGTCTAATACTATATACATATGTGTCAAACCAAAGTGATCAAAGTAGTGATGGAACCAAACTGTAGGAACTATATGATTCTATTACAGTTAAATGTGCGGAGATTATGAAATTAGGCACCCAAACTTTAAGGATAGTATTTTCTCATATAGGTACACTGCAATAAGTTATGAAAAATAAGTCAAAAATGTCTGTTAGGCAAAATATATCTTAATTTGAACACATGTTGACTGCCTCAAAACAAGATATGCTTAAAGGACAAGAAAAATGCTTTAAAAAGATACAATAAAGGTCTCCCTTGGTATGAAAAAAACATCAGTTTTTGAAATTAGACTAAATGGCTTATCTCATTGTCAAATATTGTCAGAAAATACTCAAATTAAGATGAGAACCACTCAATTTCAGCAATTATTACCTCATATTATTTGCAGTTATCATTAGTAATCATTATCATTTCCATTTTCTAACTTTACTATTGGACATCTACTTGTCTCCATGGAGAAGTTACTGTTCTGGTCCAAATCTTTCACAGTAAGATTCAACAGAACTGTGTAAACTTTTTGGGGGTTTTAGACTGCAAGATTCACTGTAAGTTAAGTATGGATGTACATTGTATAACATAACGGGGAGGAAAGAACGGAAACAACAGAAACAGGCAGAAGCAGGGCATCCTCCAGGACAAGTGAGTCAGATTTGTAGACATGCACTCACAATAATAACCCATACTTTTTTCAATGCAAAATAAATAAATAACGGATGGTGGAAAGAAATCTTTTACTTCAGTCTGTGTTTTCATAACCACAGCATATGAGTAGAGTTTCATAGTGTGTGTCTCCTCCATAACTAATATTAACCCAGAGAGACAGAGCTGTAACCTGGGGTGATGAGCGGCAAAGGGATAGCCTCCGGATATTGACCGTATGTTACAGAAATACATACCTCAGGGGGAAAATACTGCACGACTGCATTGTTCACTTTTTTTTTTTTTTCTCTGAGGATTGAGACGTGTGGTAATTAGTGTTGTGTTAATTAGCAGACTATGATTAAACGTCTGATTAGAATGTACAGCCATTACAATGATATAAAAACATGACCATCTGCCGCTTACTGAGGTCATATGGTATTGGCTCTGATGTTTTGTCCAAGGGATAACTCAATAGATTGGTGTCGATTTGCCGCAGAAACTGGTTGTGGTTCTTGGAATTTACTTATTCTTGTTATATTTGTTTTATGTTTTTTTTTTTTTTTAAATCAATTTACTGAAAAAAAACTGTCGCAACACACAGTTATCAGCAAATGTTATTAGCAAATGTTTATTCTCAACTCTTGTCCATGGTTTAGCTTTTCCCAACCTAAAAAAGACCAACAACACACACACACATATCGTGCTTACTGTCTCACACATTCCCATAATGCACCAGTAAGCATTGGGCAGTTAGTTCCACGGTTTTGCATTCCTGCTTCTTAACTTATGCAATAAACATGTTTCAGTCACTCTGCTTCCTCACAAGTTTAGTATGAAATTAAGCAATATCTCCAGTGCTAATCTATGTATGCTCCAACTTTTAAACCTTATCTTGTTTTGTGACAGATTTCTTGATTTATGCTCAACACTTTAAAGCAGCAGATTCATGTCCTTAAATTGCATAATTTCTTATACCTCTCCATATTTCTCCCTGCTCTTCTGACAACCCAAACCCACCCCCCACATCTCCCATTATCAAAACACTATGGAAGAAATTCTAACTTAGATTAATTGCCCATCAGCTTAGTTTCCTATCGTCATCTGCCATCAAACACACTCTACTTGATAAAAGAAATGATCCGGCTCTAACTAATACAGTCTTATAACTTAAGCAGTCACTTTGATGACTTGAAGCGCAGTAGGTAAGTCATTGATCCTCCGCTGCCAGGGCTTTTTTCATTCTGTTTCATTTTAGACTGCATTATACCTCAGCAGCAGCTCCTAATGTTGCAGGAGAGAGGCATATTTAGGCTGCACCGCTCACAGTTTCTCATTCTTTAGCTAATATACTTCCTGCAGTCAGGAGCAACCAATAAACCATTTTCCAAAATGAAGCTGTGGTCAAGAGTTTTTAAATGCATGGGGTGAGTAGCATTCGTGTTTTACATTAAAAAACCTCACTCTGAAGGCCTATGCTAAATTATGACGGATAATATGCGTTTCTAGTAAGGTCCTGGTGCTTCTAAATCTTCTAAAAAGATTTCTCCCAAAGATTTTCTCTAGCCTTATGAATAAATCTTTGATGATGCATTACTGGCAAGTTTAAGAAACCACTTAAATTAAAAGCATGCAAATGTAGACCAAACATTCGGGGTATTAGGGATTTAACTGTCCCAGACTCGGGACATTTAGGAGAGGTTTTCCGACAGGTGCGACGTATTAAGAGCAGATCGCAGGGAAATGGAGCGGGCCGTCCTGTGCGTGATGTCTGAATTCTGGGCCTCTATTTAAAACTACAGCTGCAGGGTTTCTACACAAACCGCCACCTCAGGGGCTCCTTTAAATGAGTTTCAGTCAGGCGTATTTCGCAGTGCCAGTCTATTCCGCTGGGTGAGGATTTGCATAAAGAGAATCTGAATAAGATACAGGTAAGAGATGATGTTGCTGCCGCGTGGAGTTAATTGGCAAAGCATTGGAGCAGTGTCTTATATAGGCCACATGCAACAACAGTTGTTTTTACTACATACTATAATCTACTTTACATTCCCAGGTGTGGCAGCAGTTTGGGCCACGCAGTCTGGAACACAATGCATCTTTGTCATAAGAACAACTATACATTTAAGGGCCTACAAACTTTTTCAACTAAGAACACATTCAATAATGTAAACATCCACAAGTCTGTCAGCGCCTTCTGGCATTCTCTTAAATCAATGTTATGTTGGTGTCTGCACAGACTTACTCCTACTTCCATTTCCTGCTTTTGTTTGTTATAAAACAATTGCCTGGAAAGGTGTATGACTTTCTCATTATATTCAAGTGCATTAGTTCAACTTTGTTAGAACGTAAATTCATCTGCCAACTTTTATCAAACAAAATAAAGAAGGAAGGTGAGCTACAACAGTGTAGAAACTCGGGTTATTGCTGCGAGGTATTCACTGCATGGCTCAGATCGGCTTGTAGAGCATTTGCACTTCATAATCAGTCAGAAAAAGAACAAATGCTTCACCTATAAATTATGATGACACTGTGGCTAGAATCTGTGCTATCCAAATGTGTGCAGTTGGTCTTTCTGTTCATAACAGTTTGTTCAATAAATCTCAATATTAAAATGAATTGGTGCGGGACCTCTTACATTAGCCGTTTTCATCTCGCAACATTTGCATACTTTTTTCAGAATTGAAGTCATGCTCCCACGTAAAACATGTGTTCAATCTGAACTAGCTGACCCTTTTTTCACTTTTTTTATCATGTTTGCACATTTCCTCTCTTTTTGCACACCCTCAGTGATCCTGATTATGCAATTTGTTACATGTATATTTCTCCATTGTGAGATCAATAAAGTTGTATTTGATCTTATCGGAGTACATTTCTAACTCTCCCTTTGTTTCTTCTCAGACATTTCCTGTTCAAACAAGGCTCTGGTTCGTCGGCGCTCCTCTCTGGGGCGGGACAGGGTTACCCCCTCACCTCTGGGACGGTGTACTCTCCCCCTCCACGACCCCTCCCTCGCAGCAGTGTGACCCGCCCCCTCTTCACATTCAACAAACCGCACCGCTGCTGCAACTGGAAGTGCACGGCCCTGTCGGCCTCTCTGCTCACGCTCACACTGGCGCTGCTCCTCACATACGTCATCGGTGAGTTACTCCTGCCCATAGATTTTCACAACATATTATTAATTGCCTTCATAATATATGAATCACGGTGAATATTCACACTGTAGGCACCAGGTAGCAGAATGACTATGTGAGCTCATGACTCCAGGAGACTTTCTATACAGTAATCTGGGTTCATAGACTATGCAGATCGACTATGCTGACCCGCTAGCTCAATTTAGCTTAATAGGGCACTTCTCATGGACAACGTTTTTTCTCCAACTCACTCTGGCTGCTATTAACTTACATTGAAAAGCAAACACCTCTTACTTTGTGGCCGTTTGTGTCACACTCAACAAATGTTTTCTTTAAAATCCATTGTTTAGTTGTGGTCCTGTGTGCTGTGGTTTTGATATTGTCTATTTAAATCCAGACATGACGTCCAGCAACTGAAAATGCAAGTGATTTTTGTGACTGTTTTTTGGTTGAACTTGCGAGTAACGTAAGCTAGAACAGCCCAGCACCGCCACTGATTGGCTCGTCGGTTGCTAAGCCGTTGCTACTGACAAATTTGGCTCCAGATTCGCACCCTTTATAGTCCGTTTGACTTAGCTCTTCCTTAATATGACAACTGGGCTAGTTCTCCCCCTCAACCGTCTATGGACCCCGCAGACAGACACTTTTAAAATTATATGACTTTATTTTTGTCTTATCAAGTAGTGCTCTTCCCGTTGTAATGTTTCACAACACCATGTTTTAAATGACTAAAAAACCACCTCAAGGGTTAACAAAGTGTTGAATTTCTTTCTAATTCTGTCGAAATAAACATGTGTGTTAAGTAAAATGAGTGGTTGGCCATAATTAGATGTTGGTGTAATGGAGTGATATTGGCGAAAACGTTTCAAAGGTAGTCATTAGGTATACCGTTTGTGACATTGAATCATTTCGACACTCTGAATTAATTTTCACATTTGATGGAATTGGATTGAAAAATGAACCAGCACCTGGGTTCTTTTTTGTAGATTTTTTTTATTCCAATGCCAAGATTCTGTGGAATAATTTATCTTACGCTTTTGTGGTTAGTTATAAATAGTTCTGCATCTGTCAGTCATTGATGAGTTACAGCCGTTCTCGTTTCCCTTTAAAACCCACATTTCTCCAAACAGGAGCAAATTGCAAGATGTTGTCAAGTGAAGAGCTAATTAATTCAGGGAAGGATCGATATAAACTACGGGCACAACTCTAACAAGGAAGTTTGCACATTTACAAAGTACAGGCATCATCAAAGGGTGAAAATAGAGCGTAGAAAACTGAAGGAGGAGATCGATTAGGATCAAAGCAGGTCTTTTAATATTGTTACGCTCTGACTCTATGAAAGCCGCTTTTAAACCAGCAGGTAATGTATTTCAGATGTGACCCTCTGTAGGACATTGTTTTTGCTAAATGAGCTTTCTCGGTTCAAAACAAACTGGTAATTATTGCAGAATTAATTCACAAAGACTCCAGATGTACTCCTATTAGTGCCTTTTTAGTCACTTTAGCTACTGGCCTTTGAATTCCAAATGGCAAAGTATTCAATTTGAACAGTTCTGGTATGTTATTATTGTTTTTGATTTTCATTTACACATGCAACTATATATTTGCACCAATTCATACATGCATGTTTTCTCCCTGCTAATCAAGAGGTTTGTGAAAATATCCGTTTTTGTTAATAATAGTCAAACTGAAGCTTCAAACTTGGGCACCTCGCTTTTAAACCACAACAATTGGACGATACATTACAATTCCTAGTTGTGAAATCATTTGGTTCTAACATGTGTTTTCCCGACATGTATTTTTGGCATCTCGTTGCGTTTGTGGCTCCCTAATGTGCTTATGTCGCATTCTCTTGCTGCTCCTCGCTTGCTGCTTTTTTATCTCCTTTAATCATTTTTGCTTACATTTTTATTCCACAAAACACGGATTACTCCTTTTTACAAACTTCAACACAAGACTTGTGGAATTTACCTAACTTACAGCATGTCGGGAGGACGGGAAAGAACAAAACTTTGCGACGGCTGTTTTTCACTCAAACAGGAGCTAAAACTTCTTCAAGACCGAATGTTTGTGCTTGAATCAGAATTGGGGCTGAACACAACAATACCAGTGAAAGGAAATGGACCACATGGACAGAACGTAAGTTATTATGACGCTATTTCATTTCCCAAAATCAACAGAGACAATTGTTGGAACACATATGGTGCCAAGCCCAAACAAGGCAAAGCTAATGATAACAAGAGTGTCATAATGCCACAGCAAAAATCTTTAATTACAAGAAACCGCTTTTCACCACTTTTGGAAGATGAATCAGCAGTAGTCTCTACAACAAAGCTGCTAAAAACTGCAGCGCCTCCACCAAGGACAAACTGTGTCCTTATCGGAGATGGCTCGGTGAAAAATGTAAACATGGAGTCCATGCTCACTGTCTCAGTTCACTCTGCAAAAGTTGCTGAGATAAGAACTCTCCTGCCTAAAGTGTTATCTGAGAACAGTGGTGTGCGTACATTATTGATCCACACGGGGGCGGTAGATATCTATGAGAAGGCAAGCGAGAAGTTACGAATGGATTTAACGCTGTTACTGGATGACCTCAAGAAAATGGACATAACAATTTTTCTTAGTGGCCCACTGCCAAATATAGATGGAAAAATGGAGAAGTTTAGCCGTCTGTATCAGCTAAACACATTCCTACTCAATGAGTGTTCACGCAGAGGACTTGGCTTCAATTGAAAACTTTAATCTGTTCTGGAATAGGCACGAGCTTTTTGAAGAAAAAGGCCCACATCTGAACAACTACGGAGTAAAAGTGCTGATGGATAACTTTGCATCTGCCCTAAGACCTCAGCCTGCGCAGCGCGTGCAGCCGTTGAAAGGGAGAAAGAAGAAGCAAAGGGCACAGACATCACGACCATCTCCACCGACTCCCGAGGTCTCTGCACCCCCACCGCCTCAAAAGAACTCCACACCTCCACGATTCAAGAAGAAATCAACACCTCCAAGGTTCCAAAAGAACTCAACACCTCCACGGCTTCGAAAGAGCTCAACGCCTCCACCCCCAGCATCATCAGCAGCTGCCACATCTTCATCAGCGCCATCAGCATATACAGCACCACCAGCAGCAGTGGATACAGCCGCAGCAGTGGCTGCTCCATCATCTTCAGCAGCAGCAGTGGATACAGCAGCAGCAGTGGCTGCTCCATCATCTTCAGCAGCAGCAGTGGCTGCTCCATCATCTTCAGCAGCAGCAGTGGCTGCTCCATCATCTTCAGCAGCAGCAGTGGCTGCTCCATCATCTTCACCAGCAGCAGTGGATACAGCAGCAGCAGTGGCTGCTCCATCATCTTCAGCAGCAGCAGTGGCTGCTCCGTCATCTTCAGCAGCACCTTCCCCACCTACAGCTCCCGTGAAGCTTCCCCCATTACTCCAGGCTACAGTCAGGCCTGTACTGGGGGTTCCTCAACCACCTCTGTCTCCACCAAAGACTCCCTCATCACCTTCCATGGACCCGGCTTGGGTCCCCCCCGCTACATCCACTCCATCTAGGGAAAATGAGGACGACCTTTCCCTTTGTTTTCTATCCCCGCCTTCACTACTGGATTTACCGGAACACTCTGCAGGCATGATAAGATCGGCGATGAAGACTATTCCTCTCACACCCACTGTAGCCAGATCAAGAGTCCTATCTAACATTCAAAACTACTCCCCATACGTACCTCCAAAGCCACCTAGGGCGTCCAACTCAAATTCTCCCACAAAATCCACCCGTCCCTCCTCTAACCCCATAAGTATTCCACCCCCCCCTCCTGCTCATTTAGCCCACCTCCCCCCCCCTAACTCAGCACCAAGAAACCCTCCACCTCCACTCCCCCCTCGTCCACCACCCAACTCAGCCTGCCCCTCCCCTAACCCATCACCAAAAACCCATCCACCTCCCTGCCCCCCTCGTTCAACACCCAAAAGCCACCCACCTCTCCATCCTCCTCCCCCGCCTTCCCCTACCCCTCTTTTCTCTAAACACTAGGATGCACAGGGTCTCTGCTTCGCAGCCACTGGCAGTCTAGTTAGAGGAGAGACCCGGCTGGGGCCCTGTCATGAAGCCACCTGTGCCATTCCCTTAGTGATAACACAAAGAATACATTACAGAAAAACATCTGGAGTTAATCAGTCTAATCTGGAAAATCTAATTCTTGTTCCGTGTAAGAATCAGCCGACCGCAACCGCTGATACTGAAACTTTGAAACTTGCTACGCTTAATGTCAGATCTCTTTGTAACAAGTCTTTTTTAATCAATAATTTTATTTCTTCTCATAATCTTGATCTTATGTTCATGGCTGAAACTTGGCTTGACCAAAATTCAGAAAATGCAGTTTTAATAGAAGCATCACCACCAAATTTCAAGTTTGAATCTGAAATACGGGAAAACAAAAAAGGAGGAGGCTTAGCTGCCATTTTTAGAGACCACTTTGTCTCCCATAGAATGTCTCTTGGGAAGTTTTCGTCATTTGAATATGTGTCTTTTAAAATACAACAAAAACAATCTCCTCCAATACTCTTCGTTGTCCTATACATGCCACCGCAGTCATGTCACAGTTTTATTGATCATTTTACCGAGTTGCTTTCAGTTGTATGCACAGATTTTGATAGTTTGGTTATTACAGGTGATTTTAATATTCATGTGGATAATGTTGATGACAGAAATGCAAATGAGCTGAGTTCTGTACTTGAATCCTTTGATCTCACTCAGCACGTAAGTGGCCCCACCCACAGCAGAGGGCACACTCTAGATCTGTTAGTTACAAAGGGGGTGATTATTTCAAATGTAAACGTGGTCGATGTTGCTCTTTCGGATCATTTCTGTGTTTTTTTTGACATGTGTTTCACTAACAAACCACCAGTGGACTCTGCAACTGTTCGAAGAAGGCGCATAAATGAAAATACGAGTGAACTATTTATGGAAATGATAAACTTTGAGAATGCATCGTATTCTACTGTAGATGAACTGTTTAACTCTGTCACCTCTAGTGTTTTGAATGTTCTGGATACCGTTGCCCCTGTGAAGGTTAAAATACTGAAAAATAAGCAGAAGGCGCCGTGGGCTAAAGCAGACTCGGTCAGGGCACAAAAGAGAAAGTGCCGGAGGGCCGAGCGGAAGTGGCGCAAGTCCAACCTCCAGGTAGATTACGAGATCTTCAAAGATAAGTTGTGCGAGTTTAACCGGGTGCTACGTAGTACGAGAGAAAGGTATTTTTCTGAAATGATTGAAGGCTGCAGCAACAATCTGCGTGTTCTGTTCTCAACAGTTAATAGATTAACAAACCCCCCTGTTCAGCTGCCATTAGAGCTTACTTCCAAACGTAAATGCAATGAGTTTGCTAATTTTTTCAATGACAAGGTTCAAGGCATCAAAAGCGCCATTGTCTCCAATCCACAGATAACCATCCAACAGCCAGAAAGGCTCTCTGAGCTAACTCACTTTGCACCTGTAAATGATAAAACTGTCCAAGAGATAATCTCCAGTTTGAGCTCCTCCACATGCAGCCTGGATGTACTACCCACTAGATTTCTGAAGTCTGTTCTGAGCAGTCTGTTACCTTCACTCACACAGATAGTAAACATGTCCCTTCATTCTGGAATATTCCCAAAGGCCCTGAAAACTGCAGTCATCAGGCCCCTGCTAAAAAAGAGCAGTCTGGATGCCACTGTACTTAACAACTATCGTCCCATCTCAAATCTGCCATTTATGGGGAAAGTCCTTGAGAAAGTTGTCTACCTACAGCTTACTAGATTTCTTATAATCAACAACTCATTTGATATGTTTCAGTCCGGCTTAAGACCCCACCACAGCACTGAGACTGCTCTCGTTAAGGTTACAAACGATATCCGGCTGAACACTGACGCAGGCAAAGTCTCAATCTTAATCTTGTTAGATCTAAGTGCTGCCTTTGACACCGTCGACCATGAGATCCTCTTACAGAGACTAGAGGACTGGGTTGGCGTCACTGGCACCGCCCTAAGTTGGTTTAGGTCTTACCTTGAAGACAGGAAGTACTTTGTGGAGATTGGAAACTGTGTCTCAGATCATATGGCCCTGACCTGTGGAGTCCCACAGGGGTCGATCCTGGGACCTCTTCTGTTCAATCTCTACATGCTGCCGTTAGGTCAGTTAATACGCAGAAACAAAGTTTCCTATCATAACTATGCAGACGACACTCAGATCTATGTCTCACTGACTGCAGGAGAACATGGACCAGTGGACTCACTCCTTCACTGTATCCAACAGATCAGTGAGTGGATGCAAAACAACTTCCTTCAGCTAAACGCAGACAAAACTGAAATGATTGTCTTTGGTCCCCAGAAACAAAGAGAGAGCGTCATCTGTCACCTACAGTCTCTCTCCCTAAAACCTTCAAACAAGGTCAGAAATCTAGGGGTAATACTGGACTCAGACTTAAATTTTAATAGCCACATCAAATCAGTAACATCAGCAGCTTTTTACCATCTAAAAAACATTGCCAGGATCAAAAACATAGTGTCTAAAGCAGACTTGGAGATTCTTATCCATGCATTTGTTTCCAGTAGGTTAGACTACTGCAATGGCCTGCTCACAGGTCTGTCCAAACAGGCTGTAAAACAGCTGCAGTACATTCAAAATGCAGCAGCTCGAGTCCTGACAAGAACCAGGAAGTACGACCACATTAGTCCAGTCCTCAGGTCTCTGCACTGGCTTCCTGTGGCTCAGAGAATAGACTTTAAAACAGCTCTGCTTGTGTACAAGTCTCTCCATAGCCTCGCACCAAAATATATTAGTGACATGTTCGTCCCATATGAACCAGCCCGGACTCTGAGGAGCACAGGGACTGGACTCCTGTTAGTGCCCAGAGTCAGAACTAAACATGGGGAGGCTGCTTTTCAGATTAATGCTGCTAAAATCTGGAACAGTCTTCCTGAAGATGTGAGACAGGCCTCCTCTCTGACAATGTTTAAAACCAGGTTAAAGACGGTTCTGTTTAACTGTGCATACAACTGAGGGATTTTATATTTTTATCTTTCTTTTTAATGTTCTGTGATAATTTATGATTTTAATGCTTTCTTGTTTTGTTCAGCACTTTGAATTGCCTTGTGTATGAATTGTGCTATATAAATAAACTTGCCTTGCCTTGCCTTGCCTTGCCATCTATTGCATCCAAGAGCGGACCCCCCTCTGTCGACCAATCAGCTGTCTGTCCAAAGCATCAAATAACCAATACACTCACAAGGCAATGCAAGTACTATGCAAAATACTCATTATTTTTCTAAAGACAGCGTGTTGTGGTCTGATTTTGTACTTGCTTACTAGTGGGGAAAACTACATGCATTATTTATGAAGCAAAAAAGTTTGGTACCCCAGCTTTAATACTGTTGTCAATCGTAACAGGATGAACTCAAACAGCAAATGTATTTTAACTTTGGTTGGTAAGGCGATTATTTGTGGCGGTGTAAAAAGTTTTGCCTTCTTAATGAATGCCTGCTTAATAAGCTTTTCACTTTCTATTCCTTTTACCTCTGCTAATCTTACATACACATTTTTAATTAGTGAATGTAAATCCGGCCAAGTCTCAAGTAGCTCTTAATTTAGAAAGTTCAGAGGTCTCTCCACATCCCTCAAAGCCTCTCCACCAAATTAGTCAAAGTCAGATTCAGAATATTTGCATGTTCTCCCCCCGAAAGACCACAGCGGCTCGTTGTTCCTCTTCAACCTTGGCCCCAGCCTCGTCTTCCCTTCAGTGCCCCGGAGCAGACACCCCCGGCCAGTGATCACCTCCGCCCTCGCACCATCGGCTTGCCAGTTCATTTCCCTCCTGTGGTGGCGCTCAAGGTCAAGGCGCAGAGCGGGGGGATAATAATTAATCACATAGACACATCAGAGAGACAGACAAATCTAATTATCCAATACCCCCTTGTATACTGATGATATTCCACATCAGCGGTGCTCAGACTTTGCCTTTGCCTCAGAGTGCCACCAGGGAAAAAGTACTGTATGCATCTGAGATAACTCATTTGTGTGTGAATGATTAGTGGGCAGCTGCGGCTACAGTAGTGGTCTTTTGCCACCGTGTATGGAGTGAATAAATAATGACATGTGAAGGGTTGTTGAGTGTCCAGAAAATCCCTATATGAAATCGATTTATAATTATGGGCTATTATTAAAGAAACTTGTATCCTTTGTATATACTGTATTTATAATTGTTGATAGTTCAGAGGTGTTTGTGTTCCGAAAACTTGCACCCGATTGTACCATCGTAAAATTATATGGTTGAAATTACAGTAAAAATTGATTACACAATGAATCAAATACGTACACTCAATCTTAGTTATATATTGATTACCCTTTGAAAAAAAATTGCACACCAGGCGAGACAGTACAACTTAAATGCATGGGGGCGGCCACCACCTCTGCCCCACTGGGTTCATTTCCCTCCTGTGGTGAAACTCAAGGTCAGGACCGTTTCGGGGCGGGAGTTTTGATTAATCACACACACACACACACACACCTCATCGGATCTCATTCATTCGACAAGAGACACCAGGACGGCTCTGAGAGGGGGGCCGCATGCAGATTACTCCGGGGGCTGGACCGTGCTATCCCACTAATACCCCCGGCCCTTGTAATTAGTGCATTAGCGAGCGCCGTGAGTGATGGCCAGCGGACGACATCACCTCTTAATTGGTGGCACAGTCCGCTCCTGCTTTTTTCAATGATTGATCCATTCGCGTTGACGTTACCGCGGCGACGTGGATGATGTATGGGACTCGGGCGGGTATGATGTGCTCTGCTCTTAAATCAAATGAGCATGAAAGTGGCCACGCTTCTTTGTCCGCGGGTAAAGGGCAAGCCACCTGTGCGTGTTACATAACAGTCAGTGGGTCTTTTTGTCAGCAAGACTACGGCCAGGGTATTGGTCAGTTTTGAAGAGGCACCTAGTGCAAATTTTACTTTTTTGATTGAACCATGTTTTAAGGCAAGTTTATTTGTATATGGCAATGCAACTCAAAGTGCTGAACAAAAAGTATAGAAACACGTCAGACAAGGCATACTTAATCCTTGTCTGAAGATAAAATCCCTTGATATAATCGTACCAACAGTTTTCTCTGCCTGTTAAAACAAACATATTTTTCCTTAAATTAGTTTGGGAAATGTATCAGGGGAATGATGCTCTTTACATTCACACGCCATTTGCAGCTGGTGTTTTTTTTTTATTTGAGAACATTAAAAACAAATTCAAATTGGATACTTTATGCAATAGTGGTCTAGTGGTTAAAAAGCAGTGCTTGTGCCTCGATGACCTGGGTTCGAATTTGGGCAGGAGTTACATTTTTGATTTAACTATACATATTATATTCTATGACAGCTCAAGAACGGTAAAAGGTAAAAACAAGCCGTTTTTGCAGGTTAAAGCTAAGAGCCTTTAATTTCATTTGGCCCTTGGTGTTTAACACAAAGGGCCATGTGAAAGATTAGATTTTGTAGGATTAATACACTTTGATAGGTAGTTTTTAATTAAATATAACATGGTTGCCCAAAGCCCCCACTGAAAGATCAAGGCTATGCTCACACTGACAGAGCAGCCATTCTCCTGTGGACTCACCACCTGCAGACCCCCCCCCCCCGACCCAATAATGGATTAAGGGGTAGAAAATGGATGGATGGATGATGTGGTCAGTATCAGGGCCCCTAAGGACTCTGGCCTCTCCTGGGGCCCCAGTGTACCCTTGGAACGCCACTGCTGACACTCAACATGTATCTACTTTTTGTTTTGGGAAACTTCAATGACTATTATTATTTTATTTTTTTACCGCATGGCAATATATGAATACGCTTTAGATTATATCGCTATTATTATAAGCAAACAAAATTGCAGCTGCTTTGTTTGGCTATTAATACATACAGTGAAAGGTTGAGTAGCCAGTGCACGATTATATTACATAATTATTCTGCAATTTCTTTGGAATAATTAACACCCACTGACAGAAGGAGAGAAAAAAAATCCATGATGCATTGCCCTTCCCCATCTTCATCAAATAACAGTGGCCGGCCCGTGTGTATATATCGATTTGGAGCTTTCCTTTCTCATTAGTTGCGGGTGTTATTTCAGGATAAAGCCTGTTATCAAAAAGTAATGAAGAAGTAACAAAAATAAATTACCTCCCAGGTTTAATAACGGCTACTTTGTCTCCAGTGTAATTATCAGCAGTGGATGAACGTATAGAAAAAGTGTGATGAGCCAATTTAGCCCCGATTCGGACAATATACTGAGATGATGATATGGGAGCAACTAAAGATAAACCAATTAATATTAATAATATAACTTTTCCTACTAAAACAGGCCATCACTATTATTATTTTGCTATTATTAAGCCAATCACTACCGCGTCTAATGCTATTACTACAACTATTAGGCCATCCATATTAGCTTTCTGATCTTTTTTAACGGCTGATTCTGAATCATGTCATTTTCATCATTATCGCCTGAATAACACCACACATTATTTATGCGCGTGCCAAGCCGGAGCCAATCATCTCAAACAGTTGGCCCTGCTCCCCTCTCGGTCAAAACCATGTTAACGCAGCTGTTACTGTTGGCTGAATCCTCATCTTTTTCCTGTGACACTCAGCCAAAGTATCGTCAGCCATGCGTGCGTTCGCTAATGTAAAGCAGTTAGGCAGTGCTTGTTCATGTTATATGGGGTGAAAGGGTGCTAGCGAATCGCTGCACTGGCTACATTTAGAGAAGGAGATGTCGTCAAATCCTCTACGTTTCACAGGATTGTTCCAGTTTTACATGCTGGTGAAACAAGTGTGTTGGGTAAATATTGCTGTCGACCTGCCCTATCCCTATGCTACCACCAGATGGAGGTGAATTTGTTTTATTTTTATGCAAACATAAACAAGTGATTGCAAAGAATGTATTTACTTTGGTTTTAAAAGGCAGAAAACTGCTCTGAGTCTGACGTCATAGTGGTACAATGGCATCATACTATTACAGGACTGAGACAGGAGCTTTAGGCCCTGTTTATACTGAGACGCTGCGCAGACGTTTCCTGGCTATTAACAGAAACGACCTGGCTCCTAATGCAAATGTCTCAGTGTTCACATGAGTTTGAAAAACGATGTAGTTTTAGCGCCCGGCCAGTAGTGGGTAGAGAAACTATACAATACGACACACGACCCCCAGCCCCGTGCCCAGCCCCCTTCCCGGCAGTATATATACTATACTCACTTCCTGTGCCAGACCCTCAGAACGCACCAACATCATTCTGCATTTTAACAGCTTTTGTGATAATGGAAACTGAAAATAGAGCTTCGCGTGGTCTCGTTTAGACGAACGAAGGAGTAGAATCTTCCTTTGTGCCGCGCTGGAAGCCCACAAAGCTAGTTATTTTACCGGCTGCCATTGTTGTTTACGTTTGTTCTCCGCTACTGCGCATGTCCAAATTTACGTGCGGGGAGCAGCGCAGAGGTGGGGGTCAGAGCAGAGGGGGACTTCACACCGTTTCCCCTCTCGCGGGTGTGAAAGAGAGCCCCCGCTGTGCAGCGTATCTGAGCTGTCCCACTTTGCAGGCCGGATCTGAACACTTGAAACAGGCACTTACCATCAGAGTTTGGATTGTTGCATGTGCTGCTTTTTCTTGTATAGAGTTGTCCAAGGAAAACTATGTTTGAAAGTGTTTATATTGCTCGACTTGGACAATGAGAATGACGTAGTCCATCATGATGGGATTCCATATGACTTAAGAAAACCTATTCTGAAAGTTGGAAGTCATATTATATGTTATATGGAAGTATTTTGACATAATAATTGACTAAATAATTATGCATGCATATTCCTCTGCTGGTGAGTTATGGGGGACTACTGCACGTGTTTTTAGTGGTAGGGGAAACCAGAGGACCCTGAGGAAATCTGGAGCAAACCTTTCCAGCCACAGGAAAAACATGCATACTCTCAAATGTAAACCTGTGAGCACCAATTGAGGTGTGAAAACACGGCTGTGCTTACATCTATACAGGCCAATCAGATTGTAAACAGGGACAAAAACAAGCTTTTATTGTGTTTGTATTTGGACAGATATTCCTTTTTATTTGGAATCAATACACAGTCCCTCGCTGTTTTGTTGTTTTCTTTATTACGTAAAGCAAAAGTGAAACTTAACAGGAATCACAGAGCTTTTAAGAGCACTGCGTAAATTCAATGATTTATGCTGCAGCAGCTGTGTGTGAAAGTCAAACGTAAACATGGATTTACATTTGTCTTCTGTGCGCTTGTAATGTATGTTGGCAATATTATTTATAGTTACAGTTACAAAGTTTGAGTAATACGGAGCCTTGAGTTGGCTTCTCAGAGGGGAAGCAAAAGATGTCAGAGCGATTCGATAATCCCACCGAATTGAGTGAGGTTTTTAAAAATACTGTTCTGCTTTGTAAACGCACTAACTATAACACTTTTCTTTTTTTTAATGCTGTTGCCAGGGATGGTTGCTAAAGATAATATTTGTTCTTTCCGGTGCAATTCATAGACTAAGAGACTCGTGGGGATAACAAATAGAGACATACTGGATCATGCACACGGAGCTCGGAATTTGTAAAAAGCTGTAAACTAATGTGGAAATGTGTGCAGCGTAGATGTATTAGCATGTCAATTGGGACAGCTGCTAGGCCTATATCTACAGAATTTGTCATGCATGTTTCAGTGGCTACAAAGATGGGTCTTTAATTAGACGGTGCCCTTGTCCCAGTAAACAAGCTAAGTGGAGATATTGATTCAGGGGAGAAGTATGTCTGACCTAGTTATGCTGATTCGCACTGTTCCACTCCAGATGAACCCGGTTGACAGGCACCGAACACATAAGCAAGTATTTTTAAAGTGCCAAAATACACACTCCATTTTTGGATTCAATATTTTAACTCACTCTCTCCTTAGTTGTCAAAGATATTCCTGGCAGACACATTTCTATTTGTTTTGTGATCTATAATTGGGTTACACGTTGGATTCAAAATACTCAATTTTCTTCGGAAACACAGTTATAATCCAAGAATGTCGGCAATTTTATTTTGAACCATATTTTTTGTCTGCTTCATGTATTGATGTGTTTTTGTATGATGTATGATTGTTTTTTGTATGCACGTTTTGGCATGTGCTTTTGTATTCTAACAAGGATGAACTTCTTATCTTATGTTTTGACTTATTTAGATTTATTGGAAAAAAAAATGCATTAAACATATAGACAGCTCACCACTTTATATAAAGTCATGTATTTTCTTCACAAAGGAAAATAGAAGATGTCTAGCCTGTCATCTCTTGCTAATTTCAAGGCTGGCTTCACCCTCGCTTCATAGATTTTCATTTTCTAGCACAGGAAAACAAATAAGGCTCTTGCAATCTGATCCTATTCTATCTTAGTTCTGTTTACTAAAATTATTCTGAAAGTGTGTTCAAAACCCAATATTTCAGAAATCCTTTTTGCCAAATGTAGAGCGTGGAGTGGTTTGGTAAAGTGGTTTTGCTCTGAGAGAAGTATCCAACCAGCAATTGGTCATTTTGCAAATACATTTTCACATCTTAGTTTGGCTGTCAGAAATGTTATTTGGTAGACTGCGGCTAGTATGTTTGTCTAAAAAACTCGACCCTTTTAGTTAAAGGCGCTATACCCGTTTCTGCAATGTTTGAATGTTTAGCACCGCCCCCCAACTCGCTCACAGGCTTCTCATTTCCCCTACGCTCTCATAACACGGAGCCACCTAGCTTTATTTGTGATCTGATACGTATGCTAACATTAGCATGAGCGCAACTTGTAAGCTGTACAACAATCACTGATGAAATGGCACTAAAGCAATGCACTGCTAACACAATATATAAGTAAAAGAATACCATTAGTTTCGCGTCCGGATGTATTAATTTAAACATTAGAATATATTCTAATATTTAATTATAATTTATTATACAGCTCCTCACAGCAGCAGCACTCCATTGACTTGAATGTAATTCTTCCGATCATTTTTTCTTGATAACAGAACTCTCAAACCAATAATGACCGCAGCCCCAATGCAATCTCTGTTTGTAATTCAGGTGTGTAAAATACTGCCATTACTCTGCAAGTACAACAAGCTATCAGCGCCTGTCACTACATCGTGCAGTTTTTCTGCACACTTGTCTGTGTAGAGAAGCTAGCGGAGCTAGCCACGCTCAATAAACAAATACATATCAATCAATCAACACCATTAAACGTCAATCGGACAATACAGTATACATATACATCCTTAACACACATGCACGGACTGTTTCAGAATTTGCTGTCAACGTTTTCATGACAAAAATACTGTTTTAAAATGACAAAAAGCGATCGCGAAAAACCCGGAAGTTACCATGAAACGGCTAGCTAGCTTAGCTGTTACCTGCCTAGCACGTCCCGGTGAAACCTTTGGGAGCTAACTATTTTATTTGCAGTCATTAAATACATTTCTAATTATAAGGGTTGTCTAATATTTGTTCAAATGTATATATATTTTTTATTTTAAAATTATATTCGAATTTTGAAGTCGAAGCCCTGGTGTTGAGCAGCGCTGTAGAGGCTAGAGGACGCAGGCTGGTCGCTCCTTGTTCTGTGAGCGGAGGAGAAAGAGCGGCCCGCTCAGAATCTACTCAGCACTTTTTACTGCCTGAATTTCATACACAGTGGAATCAATGACCTCAAGTTTTCAATTAAATTATGTATTATGATACAACTTGTATGTAGTAAAAAGCATTTTTATGAACTACTTAGAAAAAAAATCGGGTATAGCTTCTTTAATATAACCAGCTGTTAAACCATAATGGTGGCTGCTCATGGTGGCTGCTGTGATGCCTTTAAGGTGCATTATGCTACAGTTTATGTGGATTTATTTTTGTATATATTTGACCTTGTAGTGACCCAGTGGTAGTAAGAGTTGTCATTATGGACCCATAACTTTTAATCATAGTTGTTACTTTTAACTCTTTCAGTGCCAATGACGCATATTACGTCAATTAAAGATCTATGCTTGTGTGCCATTGACGCATTTTATGCAATTGACGTGTTTTGGTGTATTCAGATCCAGACGCATCTATTCTATCATATATCTCTGATCGGGACTGTTTGACAGTATTTTATTCGGCCAGCAGATGTCAGTAGCCTCCTTTAGCTCTTCGATCAGGCATAAAAGGAACCGGAAGCCCAGATCTCATTGTGGGAGTAGGTTGGTTAGAGTGAGCACAAGAGAGTAATCGGGAGAGCGAATATGAGCAGAAAGCGGCAGCTAACGATGGAGGAGGCGTTTGGTGCTGGTGGTACCATCAGAAGGTCGGTGGGTGATGGCCATGAGGAAGGTGGAGGTGATCTGCCTCGGCCTTCAGTTGGCAAAAAGCCTGAGGCTACGGCTAAAGCTAAGTCTAAACATCTGGCCGTTGGCGGGAGTCCTTGCCACGCACGTCGCTCCAGAGCCGCCGCACGCAGTTCCAGTGGTCCACGTCGGTCCAGAGAAAGTTCCTCGTCGGATACAGGCTCTTCAGAGCTATGGGAACCTGAAGCTGACCCAAACAGCAGTGACTCATCCCCCGATTCCCCCAGAGCAACCGGCAGAGCAGGTAATGCATACATTATACATATGCATTTAGCAATGAAATAAAAGTATTCTTGTATAATTCTCATGATTGTATTTGTGTGTATTTCTAGTAAGCAGAGTGCTGGGCCAATCCAGGAGTACTAATGCTGGTAAAAGGAGGCCTACAGGTAAATAAAATACTCATATATGTATGTATATATGCATGTGTGTGTATATGTATGTGTATAATATGTATGTAGTGTGTAGTGTGTGTGTGCGTGTGTCTCTGTGCGTGTGTCTCTGTGCATGTGTGTCTGTGTGTCTTTGGATATGTGCGTCTGTAGATGTATATGTATTTGGATATGTGTGTATATGGATAGATGAGTTATTGTACAATTCTATACAGGCGCTACATTGAGCAGAGGCGCTGCCAGCGTGAGTGCTGCAAATACAGGTGTGAAGAAAAGAGGTAGGAATATCTTTCTCTACATCACATCAAAACAATAAAACGAGCTCTATTTGATTCCTATTTATTGTATACATTTCCATAATTTATTACAGTTGCAAAGGGTAAAGGCGGCACCTGGCGGAAATCCGGATGGAAACCCACTGTGTTCCCCTTCACTGCAACGCCTGGTCCCCTGAACGCGGCAGCAGAGCTGGAGTCCACCTCGCCTGCTGACTTCCTGGAGCTGTTCCTCACGGACGAGCTGCTCCAGCACATCACAGAGCAGACCAACCTCTATGCTCAACAGCATTTCCTGGCAAACCCAGAGATTCCGCAACACAGCAGAAAGCATGCATGGAGACCAGTGACCATTCCAGAGATAAAAAAGTTCTTTGCATTATCTTTCCTCACTGGTGTTATCCACAAGCCAACCCTGGCAATGTATTGGAACGTGGATGAGATGTTTGTGACCCCGTTCTTCACTAAAATAATGTCCAGGAACCGGTTCCAACTCATATGGAGGTTCCTCCATTACAATGACAACTCTGCAATTGATGTAACTGACAGGTTATACAAGGTTCGCCCAGTCTACGACTACCTGATCAATAAATTCAAGGTAATGTTCCAACCCGGGCAGAATATTTGCATAGATGAGGGGATGTTGCTCTGGAGAGGACGGCTGGCCTTCAAGGTCTACAACCCACAGAAGCCCATAAAGTATGGAATAAAGTCCTATGTGCTCTGCGACTCTGCCACCGGCTACTGCTTTAACCTGCAGCCCTATGTTGGTGACCCCCGCACGATCCCTGACATTGTTTTTTCTCTCCTTGACCGTCTCCCAGGTGCCGGCCACACTCTGTTTATGGACAACTATTACAATTCTGTGGCATTGTCTGAGCAGTTGATGGCAGTAAAAACAAATGTGTGTGGGACGCTAAGGAAGAACCGGGGAGAGCCTGAGAGCATTAGGGACGTGACCAAGACTGAGCTGAGTGTGGGGGGGAGAGTCGCGGTGAACAATGGGAAGGTCATGGTTCTGGCGTGGCGGGACAAACGGATTGTCAAGATGTTGACAACATGTCACCATGACAATATGACGAGTGTCGACGTTTGGCAGCGAGGACAGAGGGAGAAGGTGTCTGTCCTAAAACCGGAGTGTGTCAATGCCTATAACTCCTCCATGAATGGCGTGGATCGATTGGATCAGAACATAAAATATTACCCGTTCGTCCGGAAGTCTCTGAACTGGACCAAAAAATTTGTAGCTTACCTGTTCCAAATCGCAATGTACAATGCCTACACTCTCTACAGAGCCAGGAACGGGAACCGGGAATACAAAACCCTCTTGGAATTCATGCAGGGGGTCATGAGGTCCTGGACATTGAAGGTCCAGGATGAGGACGAGGAGGACATCGAGGACATTGAGGACAAGGAGGACGAGGAGGACCACAACGAGGAGAACGAGTCGATCGTTGCATGTGTGGAGGAAGGAGCACCACGAAACCCCAGGGCTCCATATAACACTGATCCAGAGAGCAGGCTCGATGAGGGTGCCAGGCACAAAGTGGAGTACCTGCTGTCCTCCGGCTCGAAGACCAGACCCTCGAGGAGATGCAGGGTCTGCATGCGCAAAGGCCTGCGCAGTGAGACCAGGATGTGGTGCAAGGCATGTGGTGTCCCCTTACACAAAGGAGAGTGCTTCACAAAATATCATACACAACAAGATTACACTATATAGACAGAGACACATGCACGCACACATGCACGCACACATGCACGCACGCACGCACACACGCACACTCTCAGCCAATCAGCACTTTATGTATATAGTTATTTGTTTGTAATTTATGTTTGTACATTTCTTATTCTGTGTTGAGTATTATTCTGTGTTCTGAGTATTATTTTGCTATCAAAAGCACTTTATTTTGAGTCATTTCCCTTATTTTATACATGGGAAGAATGTTCTGTTGTGTGAGAAATGACTAAAGTAAAAAAAAACTTTTCAAAGTCACTTTTCTGCATTGTTTGCTTATTTTCACAAACACCTCATTTTCTCAGCTTTATGTCGGAAACTGATGATTTCTGTGAAAAGTTTACCTTACTCCAATGGTGATTACAGAAGAACTAAAGCCGATAGAAACACACTTATTTTTTCTGAGTAAACTAGAGGGTTCAATCTTTCAGAATATGGTCTCAGATTTAAGCTAGTCATAGCAGAACATATTCTATGGGTCTTTAAAAGTCGGTGAAAATCAGCAAAACGGCTGGCACTGGAGGAGTGATGTTCTGAAAATGTCTGGCACTGAAAGAGTTAACTTTGTTTTATTCACTCATTTGTCTTGTGCACTCTGGGGACTCTTGCGGATGCATTCCAATGTGGTTTTACTGCAAATGGCAAATCAATTCATCCGTCTCCAGTTTTTTTAGAATAAAATGTTGTGTTGGTTTTCTGGTTCAGGGGTCAGCAGAGAAAACGTTCAGAGAAAAAACAAATGATCCTATGTTATCCTTGAGTCCATTGCACCCAGCTGCATTCTGATCACTCAGTGTATAATTTTTTTTCAAATAGAATGTTGCATAATTCCCCTAAAAAATAAATGTATTTTTTGTTTTATTATTATTACTATTATTTTGTTTTATTATTTGTAGTATTTTTATGATTATTAGTATTTTTTGTATTAAAATTCGGTTTTAATTGTTTTCTTTTTTTACTTTTTATGTTATGTAATCCTTTCTTTGCATTATGAATGTTGTCTTGTGAGGTTTTGTGTTTTTTATGACATTTTCCTTGAATTTTAAAAGGCAAAAACTCAAATAAAAAGTATATTAAAAAAAATACAAAATATGAACAAAACAGTATATAAACATGTTATCGGTGTAAAAAGGGATTTGCTTTCCAATATTCATATTCATACACAGTAATATACTTAGAAACCAGTGATAATAATAATAAAAACTCATTCTATGACACATAATTTTGATGAGTATGGCTTACTGTTTTATTTGAGATTTGTGAGCCATAGTTATAATTAATGTCCTTAAATGGTCTGTGTGTGTGGCAGTTAACTCTCTGTATTTTTCTTTTTTGTATAATGTCTTCTTTGTCAATGTGTCTCAAAAGAATGAAGGCAAATTGCACTGCTTACTGCAAAAATGTCAAATGTTGTCAGTGTGAGTTGTTAACATTTGGTTGCGTCAGACATGGTTTACTCATGCCAATGCACTGAGTCATTGTCCTAGTGTTAGTATTTGTGTTGGCATGACTTTTAACTGTAGTTCTGAAACAGTCTTTGCTGGTGTCACCGTCACTCGCAAAAAAAGATCTGCGAGTTTCGTCGTGGATTTCAGACCCGCAGATATAAGGCAGATCCCCGTAAACAATGTAGATCCACATTCGCCTCATTCTCCGTCTTCGGCCAAATACTCTCGTCACATATTTACACCAACAACACTTTTTCTCCTAGTCACATGAAGCTTACACAAAAAAGCTTATATAATGTCTATGGACCGGACGCTGGACTCGGAGAGAGGCTGCACGGGCTGACCAAAGACGGCGCTGATTCGCTGGTTCAGTTTCTCCAATCAGTGACGCTTTTGACGTCACGGATTGTGCCACGTCCCAATTTGAATCAGCTTGTTTCACTGCCTCTCGAGAATGAAAGAGAAAGCTGGCTCTTTAACTTAAGATTGACGGAATCAATGAAAAAACTACTCTGGGTATGTGTATAAAGGCCAAATAGCAGCATTATCATGTTTAAACCAGAAAATATGGGCCCTTTAAAGTGGTATCCATTCAATTTCTTGTGAGAAAGACCCTCCTTTTCACCATGTTCAAGATGACTAACAAGGAATGCACTTTCATTTGACATTACACATTAGATTTGAAAGCAGTCCACTCTTATTTTTCTAATGTATTGTCTCTCTGCATTGTGTCCCTAATTGCTCTGTCATATCTCTGTCTATGGAAGAACTCCCTTCTTAAATCTTCAGGCTTCTCTCTCTTCTCACTACAATAAGAACAGTTATTAAAGATTTTTATTAGAGTTTACTCAGTGCGGTGCGGCTGTTGGAGCACAGTGTGCCGGGTCAACGTGCTCCTATGACAACACCTTCTCTGCTCAAACTTATTAAAATGAAATCACTCTGACATTTTTAACATTCAAATTACCTTCTATTTCTTCACATAAAAAGGCAACCGGGGAAGTCATGCTGTAGTTATATTTGAATTTAACTTTGTCAGTATGATGGCTCGAGGTTAGGTGGTGGCTGGGTGGCCGAATGACAAGTGCTCATATCAGAAACCTTCCCCCCAGCACCAAAAATATGCAGTTTGAAAATCCTCCCACACCTGTTGGCCTGGCCAAGACAGCATCAACCACTGGCAACAGGTCCCCAGGTTTTTCTTACCTTACCCTATATCCGTGTGAAGATAAGATACAGTTAAGAGAACCTTTATACGTCCCATAGTGAGGGATTGTTGATGTCGCAGCGCACATATGGGACAGTAGTAAGAGCACACAGGGAGCTCAAAGAATATATTATTATAATACTTACATTGCTTATACTGCAACTGTGATTGTGCCCAAATACATATATTTGTGATATAGGCATGGCATAACCCTGTGCTCTTAAATTTATCTTCTGGCCTTGCCACAGCAGCATCTAGTTACCGTGGTTACAAGCCAT